AGATTTTACACTTACTTTTTCTGTCCTTTTAAATAAACTCATTTGTTTTATGTTTTCCTATCTGAAGTCAATTTGGAGCCAGAACAGGTTCCCTCTGAACCTGTGGCCAGATATTGTGGTGCATGCCTGTTACCCCAGCACACCTGCTGGGGCAGTAGGATTACCACAAGCTCAAGGCCAGCCTGGCTTCAAGGCCAGCCTGGGCTACATAGAGATCTCCTGTGGTGATATTTTATTTGTGCTCTAACAAATAAAGCTTGCCTGGAGAATCAGAGAGCTAGCCACTAGAGGCCAGGCCGTGGTGGCACACACCTTGAACCCACCATAATTTCCAGACCAGTCAAGTCTAGCTGCTTAGACTCTGTCTCAAGATTGAAAAAAGAGAAAAGAAAAGAAGATGACAAAGAAGAAGGAGGAGAAGGAGGAGGAGAAGAAAGAGGATGAAGAAGGAACCATGATTTTCACTATGGAGTCATATTTTTTAAAAATGAGCTTTTGCTCATTAAAACACGTTTGCTGTGAAATATTTACAAAAATAATAGTTCTGCATTTTAGCACCTCTATGTGTCTGGGTAATTAAATATATGTTAAAATATCATGATATTAGGAAATATGAATACTTAGCAAACTTGAAATAAATAGGTGTAAGACATAATTACAATGTTTAATACCATATCATAAAACTTCCTTGAAAATCTCCTACTTATTCTTTCACTTTCTATGTGTAATCTCAACTGTCACTTACCAGCCTCATTCACTTGGGCAGAGACAAAATGGAGCCTCATTCACTCGGGCAGAGATAAAATGGAGAAGAAAAATGTACCTTAATGTTTCAGGTTCACAAACACTGTCGGGACACCTGCCTTGTACCCAGAACCATGCCAGGTGCTCTGGAGAATAAGAAAGGGCTGTGGCACCTGATCTTTGTTCTCCATCTTAGAGAGAAGAGGAGAAAAGGAGGAAAGGAGGGAGGGATGGAAGGAAGGAGGGAGGGAGACAAACTTTTAAGGAATGGCAAAACACAAAACAGTATTGTGATGATTTGCATGTAATTGGCTCCCATAAACTCATAGGGGGTGGCACTATTAGGAGGTGTGGCTTTCTTGTAGTACGTATGACCTTGTTGAAGGAAGTGTGTCACTATGAGGAAGGAAGTGTGTCACTATGAGGAAGGAAGTGTGTCACTATGAGGGTGGGCTTTGAGGTTTCCTATGCTCAAGATCCTGTCTAGTGTCATAGTCCATGTCCTGTTGCCTTCTGATCAACATGTAGCCAGAATCATGTCTACTTGAATTCGGCCATGCTTCCCGCTATGATGATAATGAACTAAACCTCCAAAACTATAATCCATCATCTCAATTAAATGTTTTCCTTTCTAAGAGTTGCCATGGTCATGGTGTCTTTTCACAGCAATAGAACCCCTAACCAAGACAAGTATGACATGGCAATGAAGGCCAACCAGAAGGACACAGGCAGCAGTGTGCATGGATCTAGCAAAAGGAAGGACTAAGACTGAGCTGGAGTGGAGAGAACCAATAGCCTCCAAAGGACTGGAGCCTTGAGCAGGAAGTTTAAAGAGCCCGTGTGGGGTCAGGGATGTGGTTCAGTGGCAGAGATCAAGCCAAGTTAAATGGGGGAAAAAAGAGAAAGAATAAACTCAACCAATGAGAAACCCGCAAGTAACCCCTAGTTAGGGACTTTCCACCTGGGCCAATGGAGTTTGCTTTCCTTGTCTTGCTTCTGAGAATGCTGCTCTGCTTCTGCCTCTGCCCCCTCTCCGCCCCCAGTGGAGCCCATAGCTCTCTCCCGTGATGATTCCCAATTTAAGGAATGCTGAGTGTTCAAGAGAACACATTAAAAGCTTCGTATGCCCACAATTATTCTTCAACAGGTTATGGTAGAAGACAAAAAAGTATAGAATAGATAAAAAGGAAAGATTCAATATAGAAAAAAATCAAAAGAAGAATCACCAAGAGTTGTGTGCTGACTAATTTGAGGCCGCTGTGTGTGTGTGCACGTGTGTAAACAGAAATGTGCATTCATAAGCTCAACGTGTACAGAACAGCACTCACAATCTGCCTGCACCCCAGGCTTCCTTTGTTCCTTTTATGTTTTGGTTGCATTTTTATGTATTTGCGCTCTCTCTCTCTCTCTCTCTCTCTCTCTCTCTCTCTCTCTCTCCCCCACCTCTCTTTTCTCTCTCTATTTGTGTGTGTGTGTAACATGAGTTCTAGTCCTGGAACTCACAAGGTAGAAAGAAAGAACTGAATTCCCAAAGTTATATGGGCATATACCTGTACAAACACACACACACACACACACACACACACACACACACACACACACACACGAAATAAATAAATATAATCAAAACAATTTTTAAAGAGTAACTTCCTAGCCAGATGTATTGGGACAGCCCTATAATCCCAGCATTTGGGAAGTGGAGGCAAGAACATAAAGAGTTTCAGGCCGGCCTCATCTGCATAGAGAATTGGAGGTCAGCAGGAACCACACAAGACCTTGTAACAAAAAGAAGAAGATGAAAAAGAGACAGAGAAAAGGAGAAGGAAGGAAGGAAGGAAGGAAGGAAGGAAGGAAGGAAGGAAGGAAGGAAGGAAGGAAGGAAAACAGAGAGAAAATCTCAATGGCCCACTTGGTCCTCTGCATATATAGGCTTTGTATTTGCAGAGTCAGCCATCACAGACCAACAAGTGAACTAGCTACACACAGACTTGTTATTCTTGTCGTTACTCCCTGTCCAATACAGCGTAATAGCTATGTACATAGTCTCGCATTGTGTTAGATTAGAAGTAATCTAGAGATTAGGTCTACAAGTGTGCAAGGAACTCTGCATAGGTCACAGGGGCTTTTGCTGTTTACTCTAAGGGATTTGAGCATCTGTGGATTTGGGTATCCATGGTGACTCAGGACAATTGAATAGCAAAGTGAAGGACAGATAAGAACCAGCCTACAAAGTGAAGGTCAGATAAAAACCAGTCTCCAAGTGTTAATCCTCTGATGTTTTTTCCCTTAAACTAACCAGCATGTAATATACATGTGTGTGTATGATACATATATATATATATCCTTTCTTTTGTTTGGTTTACTTGTTTGGCAGACTCTTAATGAACAGACTGGGTAGTTCCTCCCGCCTTAGCCTCCCCAGTGATGTGATTACAGTCGGGCACCATCATGGCTGATATACCTACTGCTTTTTAAAGGTCTTTAATTTCTTGTCATCTTTTCCTACTACTATATAGAAGTTCTTGGCCTATGTAAGGAAAGTGTCAGTACCTAAGGCCCTGCTAGCTCCATGTCTACTGAGATTCCAATTGGCTTTTCAGGGAACCACTGGTAAAGATGGAGAGACAAGCAAGGATAACAGATATTTGAAGAAACGTGTTCAAAGGACACGGGAAGAGAGGACACAACATCTCACCAAAAACAGTCTTGGTGTCCTCAGAGAGAGGCAGGGAGCACAGTGCTTCGGGCTGGCAATCTCAGCACTTAGGAAGCTGAGGCAAAAGGGTTGTGAGTTCCAGGCTAGCCTCAGCTACCTAATAAGACCTTGCCCCAAGGAAAAAAAAAAAGGAGGGGGAGGAGTAAATGTGGGTAGGGACGGAAGAAAGGAAGGAGAGAGGAGAAAAGAAAACAAATTCCCAAAGAGAAAAAAATAATAATAACAAAGAAAAAATTAGGAGTCGGTTGCAGCCTGTAAGCCCAGCCCAACACTTGTGGAGTAGAGGCAGGAGGATGAAGAGTCTTGGGGCAGTCTGGGCTAAAATCCTGTCTTGGGGGAGGGAATCTTAAGAGGAGGGGATTTTAAAAAGCCTTTGGACTACAGATTGCTCGCAAAATAACCACGGAGGTTACCCTGAGCTACAAGACAAGGGCTTCCTGACTGATCAGACTCCTGTGTGCCTAAGCCAGTGGATGATACAGCCCAACACCACTGACACCTAGAACAGATCCTGCATTTTCCAAAGAGAAAAAAATACGCATTTTACATGAAGAATCAAGGCATGACGTTGGGCTTCTTAGGCAAAATATTGAAAGAAACAAAAAAATGAATACATTCAATTAAAATCAAGGCACCATGGTTCACACACTGAGCCCCAGCTCTTGGAGACGTGGTGGGAGCTCAAAAGAGGCCTGGGCAGCATAGTATGCCAGTCCAAAAAAAAAAAAAAGCATTAAAAATTTTCCAGGAATCTGATTCCCATCCCAGAAACCCATTTGTGCAAGAATAAATAAATAAATAAATAAATAAATAAATAAATAAATAACCCACTAAATATGGAGGTGGGAGAAGATGCTTTCAAACTTCAAAGTGACAGAATAGTCATAGCCCTGGAGGTACAGATAGGGCTATGCTCTGAGCAATGTGTTGGAGATGTTTCTCATTGTACAGTCGTCATCCATTTTCATGACACAAACAAGAGCCATAGGAGGCTGCTGCTGCCGCCGCCGCCACCGCCACCATGGCATAGGGGTTTATAGTCAACTGGCTTGTACAAGTAGAAAGAAATACTCTAAAATAATGATTTCAGTGGGGTGGGGGTGGGCAGGGAGACGGCTCAGGGAGCGAAGGTACTCGCTCTGCAAATATGAGGACCCGACTTGGAAGGCCAGCCAGTCTAGTCAGACCAGCCAGGTTCCGACTCAGTGAGAAGAGACCCAGTCTCAAGGCAATAAGACCTATAGAGGGGGACACATGATATACACTCTGGACTCTGCGCATGTGCGCGCGCGCACACACACACATACATGCACACACATGCATACACACACATGCACACACATGCACATACACACATGCACACACATGCACATGCACACACATACACATGCACACACACACACATGCACTCAAGCACATGTCATGGAATTCACTACTTAACCCAAAATTGCCTCAAACTCACTCTGTCTCCAATGCTAAGCCCATAGGCATGTGCCACTGTATTTTACTCCATCTACCTTTCTGTCAAATGACAAAATTATGACGATTTAGTATTTTTATTGGTTTTATTTTCCATTCTAGGAGCAGGTGAAGTAAATAAATGTTTCGTCCACAAAGAAGAGGCAGCTGATGTAAGAGGAGGGTTGGGGGGAAGGCAGAAAAAAAAGGACTGGCCATTTTAAAATCACTTCCCCTGTAGGATGAGCCTAGGGAGATGGAACAATGGGAAAGGAAGGCTTGTTAGCATCAGGTTACTGTTTCGCCTTTTTATCTTACTGCAGAGGGAACTTCATTATCCCGGCCTCTGAAAGCAGCAGCCTACTGGGAAAGTGCGTGACATCTCTCTAATCCTGGCTTCTGGGAAGGTCAGATAAACAGCTTAGTTCCAGCTGGTGACATGGATCTTTAGCGTGAGCGACTCCATTTTGATTTTTAGCCTATTCTTTGAGGCTAGTGCAGGAGCTTACTCCAGAACAATAGCCTTCTTCGGCTTTTATGTAACAACTTTAACTTTTAACTTGGAGGATTGATTCATGTGCAAGTTCCTGTCATCAGTTTAGTCATAAATAGTTTCTGGCATCAAGTAGCTGTTAAGCAATGCTTAGGTTTTTGAATGAACGGAAAAATAAATTTTAATAAGGAACTTATTCTCGTTCATGATAAAATTTAGAATAAACCATTTTCACCTCCCTTCGAGATCTTGAGTACACTTCATTATCCGGAACTCACACAACCTTCAATGTCTTTCTTACATTCTTATTATTGCATATTCATGACATTTTCCCCCTAACTTTCCTTTCCGCATCACTTTGAAACAAATGGAAAGGGGCACCAGAGGGACCTGAATTTAGGGTCCAACACACAGGTCATGAGCACCTCTAACTCCAGCTCCAGGGGCTGCAACACCCTCTTCTGATCTCCAGGGCACCCACATATACATGACACACATACAAACGTATTTTTTTAATTGAAAAAAAAATTAAACTTTAAAAAATTATTAATAGGGCTGGAGGTATGTGACTCAGTACTGAAGAGCTTACGTGTAGAATTTGTTAGAGTTTATTCATATACACAGAAAGAATAAGTCCCCATGTATGGTGGCAGAAACAAGGCCCCGAGTTCAAACCCCAGCACAACCGAAAAGAGTCGGGGGAAACTAGAGAAATGATTAATATATTTTAATGTAAGACACCAATGTCTTTTATTCTCAAGAAAGGGGTAAAATGAATGCTTTTAATGAGGGGAGGGTATTTCAGCTGGTTTGACATATCAATCAGAGATAACACATCTGGCCTGACCTCCACCAGGGGAGACTGAGAGGGGCTGGGGGTTGGCGGGGAGACAGGAGAGCGAAATTAGGATCGCTGAGACAGTCCCCACCCTGGGTCCCCTTGCATAGTTTCTTCAGTTGGACTGGAATGCTATAAATTTCTAGACACACCCAGGTTCCAGTGCAAGTACAAAAACATAGTCCATGGCCAAATTTGAGGTATTTTTGTATCATCTACCATTGGAGACTATGTCCTGATCTTCTTCTTCCCCTTAGAGCAGATAAGCAGGAATCAAGAGTGTAGTCATTAACTAGAGACAAGAAAAAAGGTTTACAAGAAGCATCCCAGCATCACAATGGACCAGTGAACTGCTTCCTATCGGGTCTCCAGGGAATCTGACTTAAGCAAGAGCAAGCCACTGCTCACCTCCACTTCACTGTGAGGTGAGAACAGCGTGTCCTTCCTCCTTTCAAACATGCTGCAAAAACCAGATGATAACATCTTCAAACACTCAACTACTTGGGGAAAATGACAGCTCAAAGCCAGGCTATTATCAGTACACTCCCTTAGCATGTGTTTTCTTCACTCACGGTACAAATAAAATTCCTCTGTAACAGACCCTACCCGGATCTGAAAGGCCAAGGAATGCCTATCTGCTTCATAAATCTTTTAGCAAGAGGTTTTGAGAGTGCAAAAATGGAATCTTCTACTCTGTGTGTTCACTGGATTTCAATAAATGTTATACATATGCAAGTGAACCAAGTTTGGTGAAAACTTTACTGGCCTGGCTTAGAAACTGTGTTTGGCATGTGAGAGACCCTGGGTTCCATGCCTTTGGTGCTTTCACCAAAGACCTCTCACCCCCGTCCCCTGGCAAATCTTTACACAAGGATCAGAACTCTTTAAAAATGATGTTCAAATGTACTCTGAGGTTTGGAGAAATAAGCTTTAGTAACTGTAAGGGCTCTTGTCTTCTACTTCTTCTGTTTGTTTTTAAATTTCAAAGCTAACTGTGTCTCTTTTCTCTCTCTCATCTGTCTCTCGCTGTCTGTCTCTCTCTGTCTGTCTCTCTGTCTCTCTCTCTGTCTCTCTCTCCGTCTCTTTCTCTCTCTGAGTCTCTCATCTCTGTGTCTCCATGCCCCTGTCTCTCCCCGCCCTCCTCCCCCTCCTGTACTTAGTTTGTGGTAGTAGTGGTTGAACCCAGAGTGGTGTTCACACTTAGGCAATCACTTTCCCACTGAGCTAAATCCCCAGACTTCTTTCTTCTTTTTGGTTTGGTTTCATTTTGAAGCAGGGTCTCTCTCTGAGACTGGGTCTCACTCTGTAGCCCAGGCTGGCTGCAGGGAGGTAATCCTTCTACCTCAAACCTCTCATATGCTAGTATTATTAATATATGCCGCTTTCACCTGCTTTTAAGGATGTCTTTTAAAGATTCTTTTTAAAAATTGTATTTAGGCCAGGCGGTGGTGGCGCACGCCTTTAATCCCAGCACTCGGGAGGCAGAGGCAGGCGGATCTCTGTGAGTTCGAGGCCAGCCTGGGCTGCCAAGTGAGTTCCAGTAAAGGCGCAAAGCTACACAGAGAAACCCTGTCTCGAAAAACAAAAAAAAAAAAAAATTGTATTTAAAGGCTAAATACGACAATATGGCTCTTAATTCATAAGAAAAAGGACTTACTAACTAGTACAGTAATTGATTGTAAAAAATTGAATTTGGAGGAGAAGGAGAAATTGAAATTATAAGAGGAAGGTGTGGTAGCATACACTTGAAATCCCATCACTCAGGAAGCATATATGTAGTTATGAGACTCTAAGGCCAGTTTGTGCTAAATAATGAGACTATGTCAAAAAATAAGGACAGAGAGAGAGAGAGAGAGAGAGAGAGAGAGAGAGAGAGAGAGAGAGAGAAAGAAAGACAGAAAGAAAGAAAGAAAGAAAGAAAGAAAGAAAGAAAGAAAGAAAGAAAGAAAGAAAGAAAGAAAGAAAGAAAAAGAGAGAGAGAAAGAAAGAGAAAAAAGAAAGAAGCAAGAGGAGGGAGAGGGGGACTGGAATTTTAACTTTCAAACTGCAAATTCCACTCTATTGACCCCAGTGAATGAATTCCAGCATGATGTCATAGAAAGTTGTGGAGAGCTAAATACAACTGAAACAAAATACGAAATGTTTCAAGATAATTAATTGCTAGTCATTTCTAGAGCATTGTATTGAAAGCATGATGAGTTCATATCTAATTTCAACAATAAGAAGTTCCATGATCAATTGCAGTGTCCACCTAATCACAGGAATGGGGACTTGGCAGAACCTGCACACTGCATGGAAACCTACACACTGCCCACTCCATCCACGGGACACAGAAGCAATGTCTTAGCCTGGCAGGATGGTCCTTTTCAGTTGACTGTCTGACTTAGCTGCTCTTTGTTAGTCAGGATTCTCCCATCCTGCTTCCCAGGCATAGAAACAGGAACAAAAGGCTGCAAAGCACAAATGTATATATCCTTCGCAGCCTTTCGCTCATGTTTAGTGTGTGTGTGTGTGTGTGTGTGTGTGTGTGTGTGTGTGTGTGTGTGTGTATTAATTAGACTTTACGGCTTTCAGACAAGAGCCTTTGAAAGCCCATACCTTGAACTACCCATTCTCAATTGCTCCATTCTTCCATTGCTAACTCCATTTTATTTTTAGAAATCCAGCGTAAATGTATTGAGTTTCCCTCCAAAATCTCTCATAACTCTTTATTTTTTTTTCAATTACTATTGTTACATGTATACATACATACAAACATATACATGCAACTTGCTGAGGTCATTTACTGTTTCTCACATGCGTGTTTTTAAGGCTGAACAGCATAATGACACCAGCTGACATGCCCATGTGAAAGGGAAAAATCTTACAAGGCTCTGCCCCAGTTGAAGAATTACAGGCAATTAATGATTGCTGGAAGAGGGGGACCCAGTCTTCACAAGGGATGAGCCCCTAATCTGTTATCCTGTCGCAGGTGCTCAGCCCTATAACACATGCATTATGTTTTCTTGATTTTCAGTATTGCTTGGCTGCATCTCTGACTTCACGTTGTTTTCTTCTCTAACTGCTACTTGTTTCCATGTGTACACAGAGAACTATTTAATTCTTTACTAAACCTAAACTTTATAGTAATTTCTCTCCTAAAACCATCCAGATCCCAACTTCCCGACCTCTGCTCTGCACCACCTCCCACCCTTCCCAGCCTCCTGTTTTCCTTCCCAGCAGTCCAAACTCGCAGGTGGCGATTGACAGCAGCCCCTGTCATCTCCAGTAAATCTCTGCATTCTCTTAGCACCCAAAGGCACTATTTTCAACACCTTTTCTTCTCTCCAGGGCTGCCACGGGGACCCTCCTGCAGTGATATATTGTGTGCCCTAATAAACTTGCCTGAGGATCAGAGGACAGAGCCCAGCCACTAGATTAGACACAGAGGTCTGGCAGTGGTGACACACACCTTTAATGCTATCACTCACTCAGGAGGCAGAAATCCGTCTGGATCTCTATGAGTTCAAGGCCATACTAGGCTGCATGAGACAGATCCAGTCTAGGAGAGAAACAGCCAGACAGTGCTGACACACACCTTTAATCCCAGCACTTGAGATCTCCTGCCTTTGCTTGGGATGCACACACTCCTTTAATGCCAGGAAGTAATATGGCAGGGCAGAGAAGGTATATAAGGCACGAGGAAACAAGAACTCTCTCTCTTTAGGCTGAGGATTTCATAGAGGTAAGAACTAGTGGCTGGCTGTTCTGCTTCTCAGATCCTTAGGCAAGTTTATTAGAGAATACAATATATCACTCTCTATACTCCTTCCTCTGTCTACTCACTTTTCTTCAGCAGGGCTGTTCATGGCCTTAGCATTTTAAAGACTAAAGTTTTCGATGCGTCACTGCACTTGGATTTATCAAACTTTCTACAAAGGGCTCCTCCGTGGGCCATCGGGTCCAGAGTACTCAACTCCATGGTTTCTCAGAACACTCAACTCCATGGTTTCTCAGAACACTCAACTCCATGGTTTCTCAGAACACTGCCAACAATACTGGAAGAATGGTCATGACAGTGATCCAGTAAAACTTACAGATGCGGAATTTGAATTTCACATCATTTTTCATATGTCAGAAAACATGTTTTACTTTTGTGGCTTTTGACCTAAAGGTGTTATGTAGTCCAGTTGCCCTCAAACTTGTTAAGTAGCCAAGGCAGATTTTTGATCCTGACTCCCTGTCTTAACCTCCCAAGTGTTGGATTATAAGCACAATCCACATACCTCACTAGAAAACGCTATCTTAAAAAACCCTTTTACAACTATGAAAACTCACTCTTTGCTCGCAAACGGGACAGCAGATTGCCAACCCCAATCTGTGCTGGGACTGCAAGCTCATCTTTCCTTTCGAACTCCAAGCCAACCTTCTCCACTGACTCCTTCTTGCTTCCTGAAGATCCCCGTTGAAATGACGTCTTGCCCCAGTTTATACAGCTGACCAATCCGACTGGCGTGACCGCCTTGTCTCCGCTATTCTATTCTTGCCTGAGCTGTCTCTGGCTGAAAAGTTACTGGCAATTGATGACTACTGGGAGAGAAAGAGAGTCAGTTTTCTTTTCAAATCTGGCCCGTTGTAGGTCAGCCACTCTGATGGATGTCTCCACAACTACGAGTTATGTGAGAAGCATAATTTAAACTGGGTGAGTTGGGGCTGGTGCACGAAGCTGGGAAATTAAAGAGGTAGAGGTGGATCTGGAGGAGTTAGGAGGAGAAGTGGGGCTTGAATATGACAAAATACATCGTACAAACTTCTCAAAGAATTAAGAACAATTTACTAGTTCCACATTTGGTTCCTATGTACTTCCTTTTACAAGAGACTGAAGAACTTAAGAACTGAAATAACATCTGGAATATATTTACTAACACACCATAGTGCCTTGCAGAGTGTAGATGTTGAATAAATGCTGGCTTGTGGTACAATGTTAACATCTAAACATATTTTAAAGGCTACATTGTCAGATAAAACTTTTCTCCTGGGAAGTTTGTTAAGGGAATCAATATGTGAATGAATGAATGAATGAATGAATGAATGAACGAATGAATGTCTAAATGCCAGCTTTCTATCAGGCTCTAACTAAAAAGCTTTCCTAGACATTAGGGTATCATTTAAATAATCCTATCAATGGAACATGTCCTCCAAAAGTTCAGATATTGGGGATTAAATCCAACATTTTAAGTTCGTGGTATTTGGAGCTGAAGCCTTCTAGAGGTGATCAGGATTAGAAGACATCATGAGAGGGGCCCTGATTTAATCAGTGTTCTGTTGCTGTGAAGAGACACCATGACCACACCAACTCTTATAAAAGAAAGCATTTAACTGGGGCTTGCTTTCAGCGGTTTAGTCTGTCTTCATCATGGCAGGAAGCATGGCAGCATGCAAGTAACTATGGTGCTGAAGAAGAAACTGAGAGAGTTCAACATCCAGATCCATAGACAGCAAGAATAGAGATTCTAGGCTTGGAAGGGGCTTTTGAAACCTCAAAGCCCACCGCCAATGACTTCCTCCCCGCCCCTTCCTCCAGGGCCACACCTCCTGATCCATCTCAAGTAGTGTCGCTCCCTAATGACCAAGCATTCAAATATATGAGCTGATGGGGGCATTCTGCGTCACACCACCAAAGGCCCCCAAATGACATTATAAAATGAGGAAGACCTCATTGTGGTGGCATACCTCTGCAATCCCAACACTCAGAAGGTGGAAGTAAGAGGGTTGCGAGTCTGAGTTCAGTGTGGGCTATATATTGAGACTGTCAAAAATAGGAGGAGAAGGAGAAAGAGAAGGTGGAGGAAGGAGAGGAGGGAGGAGGAGAAAGGAGATAGTAAGGGAAGAAGATAGAGGCAGAGAGGGAGGGGAGAGGGTGAGGAGATGGAGGAAGAGGAGAGGAAGAGGAGGCACTTGAGCTGGGACGCTGACTCTGCCCTCCACTGTGTGGCCTACATTATGATGCAGCAAAAACATTCTTTAGTCTGCAAACAAGTGCTAGGACTATGGCCTTGGATTCCTTTTCTCCAGGACCATGAGCTCAATACATTTTTATTCCTTATAAAATGCCATTTCAGGAACTTCACTATGGTCACAGGAAGCAGAGTAAGGCATTCTTCAAGGCTCAACTTTGCAAGAAATGCTGCATGATTTCCTCCTCTCTCCTAACCTTTGGTGGGCATGTCTACATTTGAGTTATCTCTCCGTGCCTATCTGTTTCCTTGTTTTATAAGAGCTATTCTACTCTCCAAATCCATTCACCTGATTACTAATCTGATATCCCAGTTTACAGTTAACTTTGAATTGTTCAATGCTTTCTTTGTCTGTCCACATCCATATTCCAAGGAAACCAGATAGTAGACATCAAAGAAAAAGTCCTGGGAAGAATCTATATAGTTATCTCCTGTGTACAACATGACCAATCTCCCTAACAACTGACCATATTCTTCATCTAGAATACTCCTTCATGAGTTCCCTATGAGTTCTACTACCATGGGTCCTCTCAACATTCTTCCAGATGCTTTGGGGCCCAAGTCATGCAAAGAGGCCACCACCCGTAGCAGAGACACTACCTGTCTACCTCCCTCTCTACAAAGAATATTTGTTACCCAGATACAGGGCTGTGATCAGTTAATCAATTACAGCTGTCAACTCCACTTTGGCTAGCTAGGGTCAAGCCCTTACCTATGAAAGCCCCCCAAGAAAGGTACAGCTGTAAAGATACGATCACTCATCCTGGGGTAACTGGTGGGCATTACTCCTTGCAGAAAGATTTACTGGCTTGGCCTCCTTCCAGTTTAATGACACCATTTACAGATGTGGCCCACAGGGGACTTGATAGGTCAGAACAGTGCTCACAATAGCCTACCTCCCCTCTTAAGGTTTATAGGAACATGTCAGACAGATCCCTCACACAAACTCAGGGAGAATCCAAACTGGCCCCATTATATGGGTGGTAAAGGCATTTAGGACTCACACTACTCCAGAATGGCTTCATCTTACTTGATTACTCCTACAAGGTCCAGTTTCCAAATAATGTCACACCCATAGGTATTAGAAGTTAAAAATTCATCACATCTTTTTGAAGGACCTAATTTAACCTGCAGCAATAGTCCATAAACCCAACCTGCCATTCTTTATTGGATACAATCATTATTTTCTATATTTGCTGACCCTATTGGTAAGAGATTCTAGGAACCACACATATGTACACAGGCAGATACACACACACACACACACACACACACACACAAAATTTGGCCTCTACCTATAAGACTAACCAGTTTTGTTAGAATTAGGGAGGGACTGATTTTAGGATAATTCTAAACTATGTTTGTCAATATTAATAGTCTTATATCCTGAAATGGTAAAAGCAGAAGTTAGAACAATGTCCATGAGGCTTCATGTGTAGTCAAATGTTAAAATGCATGCTTAGCCTGAGCAATGTCTTAGATTCCATACTAGGACAAAAATTAATGGGAAATAAATATCTTTAACCAAAAAAAATCCTGTCTGAGACATTTTGTTAAAATGCACTATGGCTTCAGATACAGCTAAATCAGCATGCCTGAACTTGGAATAACCAAAAGAAGTTGTTGACCTAAAAACATTAAAAAGCTTTTTTTTTCATAAACCATATAACTACTGAGAATTTTTAACTTTCTGAAACTATAATAATTTTTCTTCTATATCTAAATGAACTAGTTCTTATCATGAAGGTGTTTGTTTGTTTGTTTGTTTGTTTGTTTGTTTGTTTGTTTGTTTGTTTGTTTGAAGATAGGACATCAATTCTGTAGCCCAGGCTAGCCTGGAACTCTCCTGGCAATCCTCCTGCCTCAACCCCTGAATTCTAAGATCACTATTATGAGCCACCACACTTGGCTTTTGCATTGGCACCTGAACTGTTTTTCTAGTGGTGCATGGATTTCCACTAGTCACCATCTACAATCACCTTTCTGGCTAGTCTAGTCCGGTCAGGGGTGTGGTGTCCAGTCACAGAGTAAAGCTGACTGGCCTATATGTGACCTCATCTTCTCTGTCATCTCAATGAGTGAGTTATTTATTCATGGATTAAGTCGGTCTTTCTTAAGGATGCTTGCAAGTATGAGTCTCAGCTAAGAGGATTGTAGATGTGAAACTTGTGACATTTCCTTCATAGGCCATTTACATACATTACTATCAAGAGCTGTGCTCTGAAGCATTCACTAATGGTAGGTCAGGTCTCTGGATTTCCGGGTGTTGGTCTGCAGTACAATTCAGCCATCACATTGCTTTATTTTAGTAAAAGAATCTCTTCAGGTATGAGCGTTCTATATGGTGTGATGACAAAATAATGTATTTATTATACTCTGAATGTAAGTACAAATATTTTTCAAGGGTTTTATTATATTTTTGAAAGAGTACAATGATTGAAGCAGGGTCCTGTAGCCCAGTCTGGTCTTAAACTTGGTATGTAGTTGAGAATGACTTTGAGTTTCTGATCCTCTTGCCTCCCTGCCCCACCATGTTAGGATTACAGAAATGCACCACCATGCCCAGTTCACAAATTTCTGGGGACCAAATCCATGGCTTTGTGCATGCTAGAAAAGTACTTTACCAACTGAACTAAATATCAACCATATTATCTATCTCTTTTTTTCTAAAAGAACAGAGGATATATAAGACCCTAAGTATCTCAGAGAATTTCTGAGTAAGATGGCTCACACATATAATCTCAGCACTTGGGAAGCTGAGACAGGAGGTTTGCTATGAATTTGAGGCTAGCCTGAACTACAGGGTGAGTTCTATACCAACCTGGGCTGTGGTATATGATGCGACCTCAAAAAGTCAAATGGAAGAATGTAGAAGAGAATCAGTCTATTATTCTGACATTTATAATAGAGCCAATAACAAGTTCTATAAACCAACAAGGGGAACTTGGAACCGCATTTTGATAACTTTAGATATTTT